AGGACCGAGGGGCCGCCGACCTCCCGCGCCGGCCCGGCCCGGGCGGGGGACCGTGGTGGGCGGGCCTGCGCCCGGCCTCAGTGCTTCCCTCGTAAAATGCGCACGAGGTGAAGGCACCGCTGGCAACTGTGGAGACCTGGGGCAGGCGCTGCCCATGGGGCGCCCGTGAGGGAGGAGGAGGTGCGAGGCTCTCGAGGAAACAGACCGCGGGGGCTTATTTCTCCCAGTGTCGCCCGCACCTCGCAAAACCAGGCTGGCGGCACTCAACCTTGATGGTTCAGGCGCAGGTAGATGACGCGAGCGGAAGCACCCGGAAGTCCCGCCTCTGGGAAACGCCCCTCTCCCGGGCTACGATTGGTTCATTCCAGGCGCCGGACGAGCCACAATGCCTTCCGGGTAATGCAGTTTTTGTTTTTTTTTTAATCTGACATCCGCCTAGTGATGGATACATTCTTTTTTCTTTTTTGGAACTGCGAATCGAACTCAGGACCTCGCGAGATGGATACTTTCAAAGAGCCTATTTTTATGTGCGTTCGGTGCAAGGCCGGCTCCTCACGAAGCACATAAATCAGGGGTCTAAATTCTCCATTATTTGGCCAAACAGAGCTTCAGCAAAGGAGAACATACCGGGGTCAAGGTACATGCAGAGGACTCATTCTGGCCTTAGGCTAGTCTGTGACTTCCCGGTCTCAAGTTTAGTTGATACAGATCAACGTTTCAAGAGCATCTGGGTAAGGGGCAGAGGCAAAATACACCCATGGAGCAGCGCTGTAGGCGGTTTTGATGACATTTAAGGCTAATATAGACAGGCAGGCTAAACGTGTCACTGCAAGGATGGAGAGACAGAGAGTAGTACTTCAAACTTAGCTGTTTACCCTGACAGCAGGGAAAGAACAAGACTAACCAACACCTTGAGAGATTACAGAACGACAGACGCCTTAAGGCGTAAGAATGGAAAATGTTGAGGATGCCTGTGAAAGGGTGATAATCAAGGAAAACAGTGTAGGCAGGCCTGGGAGAGGCCCCACAGAAAGGCCATTTCTCCTTCAGCAGTCATGAAGAAAAGACATCTGAAGAATGTTTATCTCAGTTACACTTTGCCCTTTTCCGAAGTATCAGTTAATGAGAGCATGTGCAACTATTCTGAAATCTCAATCACTCGGATCCCCGGAGACCTACCACCTCAGTGGTCTTTGATTATGACTGTTTCACTTCGACAGCCCCTCTTGGCACTAATCCCACCTCCATCCATGGTGCTTTACCTTGTCTTGCTTGATGCACTGACCTCTATGCTTTACAAATTACAAGGAAATGGCACATTTTCTTTGCTTAATTCTTAAAATTTAGAAGCTCATTAGTTACTTTAGCGTATTATTTTAAGTGTCTTTATTATTGAAATATGGTGAAGCTAAAAGATTCTGAGACAGTTGCTACCTAAGAGACACCTGTTAAAGTTGCCGAGAGGTAGAGCACACATCATGTCATGTCAGGCCAAGTGGGGAAATACAGTACAAGGATGATCAAGGGAAATAAATAAGCTAGGCAGGTTTAGGATTTCTTTTATTAGTATATGTTTGCAGTTCATGCAGTTTACAATCATCTTGGACAATGGTTACACCATACATATTACAGTTTTTTTAATCTCCTTCCCCTTCCCTCCTCCTCAGGTTCCTCTATCCCTTTATGTATATTATATGTCCTAGCTCATGTTATAGCATATAGTGTTTGCATTTACTGGGGTTATTAGGCTCCTGTACATGGCACATCTTTATTCTCATTTCTCCTTCCCCTCCTCCTCAACCCTCGCCGTTGTTCTCCAAGAATAATTTCAGTAGAGGTTGTCCCTAGTTACTTGATATCTGGCCCTGATTAGTGACGACCAAGTTTGTTCCTCCATTTGTGAGACCTGCGCAGAAGCAGCAGTTGAAGGATTGGGGTTCTGGAGTGTTTGGTTTGCGTATGAAAGGCACACACCAAAGGGAGTCCTTTGCTACCACTTGGAATTGGTTAGTTGTGGAATGGTCAGTCTCTACAAGATCAGTGAGTTCCCATTTCTCAAAACACATATTGAATACATCTCCAAATTAAAAGGAGAGGGCACGGATATGAATTTTCTAAAAGTTATCCTCTATGCCAGGCATGGTGTCATATGCCTGTAAACCCAGCACTCTGGAGGCTGAGGCAGGAGGATCAATTCAAGTTAGATGCCAGCCTAGACTCTACAGTGAGTTCAAGAATAGCCTGAACTATGTGGAGACACCCTGTCTCAAAAAACGAAAACAAAACAAAGTAAAAAAAAAAAAAAAGTTCTCCCGTAAATCAGATTAAGGACAGGGACAAAAGAGTCTTACAGTGAGGCCCATGCCCTGTATACTGTTCCAAAAGAGGCAAAATAAACTTGTCCTTTGACAATATAGCTGAGAAATTAAATTGTGAGATGCGTAACAAAGATTTTGGTCATAAAAATTTAAATATCTATGAGTAGATATTGTCTTTAATCCTTAAAACTGAAGTACATATCATTGAGCACTACAGAGGCAGCCCCACTTCTGACAATGGAGAAAGGCCATCTGTAAGCTACAGTCTACGTAAGAGGTAAGTTTCCCCTGGCCTCCAGCATCATGTCTCCACAGGAACAGTTCCAGGCCTCTTCCTTCTGAAGAAACAGAAGATTCAGTGAGAAAGAAAACAAGTTCACTCAACACTAATCCTAGATTTAAAATGGTTGACGAAGGCTGGCAGCAAAATACATTCTCTAGAGTACCTGGAGAAAAGACACATGGAAAATATCTTAGGATCAAAAACTGTGGAGCTCAGGGAATCAAGAAAGACCTGTTGGTGTACACGAATGTCTCTAATAGTCTGGACTGATCACCCTGGTGTTTAGTGCTCCATTCTTGGAAATTCCAACCAGCTAAATGAGAAGACTCTTGGAGACTTTCTTTTGTAGGAGCTACCCTTCCACCACAGTGCAGCAACTGCAGTAGGTTTGACCAAACACAACACTCTGACTTCAGATACAAGAGCTCTCAACATATGGGGGAATTTATTGCACCAATGCAAGGCTGGCTTTGCATCTGTAACTCAAAGAAATCCATCCTATCAAGAGGCTGAAGGAAAACAGGCTACATAATTTTAACATTCATTCTTTTTGGTTTTTCTCCGGTACCGGGAACCGAACTCACGACCTTGCGCTTGCCAGGCAGGCGCTTTTGCCACTGAGCTAAATTCCCAGCCCCTAACATTCATTCTTAATAGACACTCTCAGCAATTTAGAAGGGCAACTTTCTAGATTACATTATCATCTACATAAAACCAAAGAGCTTTTTAATGCTCAACACTGAATATTTTCCACAACCATCAACCATACAAGTACAAAGAATAGCTAGTTTTTACCTCTATTTAGTATCTACTTGAAGATACTGAAGTATAACAGAATAAATGAAGGTAATGAGGATTAGAAATTGGTTCACTATTAGCAAATAATGTTACTATGAAGAAAATCCTGAGAAATATATTAAAAAATACTGATGGGCCTAAGAACTGACTTAGGCAATGTTATAACATGCAAGGTCAACAACTGGAAACATATCCCTATTCTAGGAATGATTGTATGGAAACAGTACGAGGCTGGGTGAGGTGGTACTTGTGATATCAGCTACTCATAACAGGAAGCTAAAACAAAGGAATTCCTGAAGTCCAAGAATTAGAGGCCAGCATGAGCAACACAGAGAGGACCCATCTCTCGACAACCACCAAAAACTCAAAAATCTGTCAGTGTCACGTAAAATGGCCCCACAAAAATATTTACATTAAATTCAAGCAGGTGATAGTGCATACCTGCAATCCCAGCTACGCTAGATGTTGACACAAGAGGACCACAAGGTCTAGGCCAGTGTGGGCAACTCACAAAAATTTAATAACATTGCTGGGATTTATATCAGTGTAAGAGTATCTGCCTAGCATGGATGAACCCCTGGATTTACTCCCAAAACCACCCCCACCCGAATAAAAGAAAAAAAAAATTAATAAAATATGTCCAGAGTTTATTACCTCAAAATTACAAAACATTTATGAAGTAAATGAAAGGGGATTTAGAAAACAAAAAACCACTCATGGAAGGCTCAACATACAAAACCTTTTAAGAATCTACTGTACAGTTTTACAGTAATTTCTGTAATAAAACCAAGATGCTTCCTAAATATACAAAAACACATGATAAAAATGAAACAAAGCTGTAAGAATAAATGGATATGGAAAGAATTTTTATCAGAATAAGAACAGAATTACTTTATGCATTTCATAGCTACAGTAAAACAAGATAATGTGGTACTGACAAGAGGTTTCGGCCTCTGCCAATAAATACAGAAAACCAGATCAATAACATAGAAAATGCAGAAGTAGGTCAACATGAATATGCCCAGTTGTTTATGACCAAGACATAAAAGCAATTCAATAAACATATACTAATAAATGATGTGAGAACAAATGAATTTCTCAACAATAATGAAAGAAACTCAATCTATGCTTTGTATGGTAATATAAAAATTACCTTAATATGGGCCAAAGATTAAAAAGGAAAAGGTAAACTCAAACTTTTAGAAGAGGGCTGGGGACATAGCTCAGTGGCACAGCGCCTGCCTGGTAAGCACAAGGTCCTGCGTTCCTGGGACCAAAACACAAAAGGAAATCTTTTAGAAGAGCCATTTTCAGGCACATGCCTGAAATGCCAGCACTCAGGAAGCTGAGGGAGGAGGATCACTTTCAGTGCTAGCCAGCATGAGCAACATAGTTCAAGACCAGCCTGAACTACACAGTGAGACCCTTTCCCAAAATAAATAAATATATAAATAAAAAATGTTTAAAACATTTTAGAAGAAACCAGGTGAGATGGCACACACCTGTAATCTAAGCACTCTGGGAAAATAAGGCAGGAAGGCCAAAATTTCTAGTGGAGCCTAGGAAACTTGGCAACTTATTGAGACTCTGTATCACAACAAAAAAGAAAGCCAGAGATACAATTCACTGTCAACTTCCTGGATTGAGCCCCCAATACCACAAAACAAGCAAACAAAATGACACTATCCCTGAGGTAACATTTCAACATACACTAGCAAATGTAGTTGAGACCTTTCCTACATGTAAGCACAACAGCCACTGAACTTTCTCAAGCCTGAATTCTCAGATGTAAAAGACTGCAGACTGGGTCAATTTCAAACATGACACTTTAGATGACAAATGAGAGGGCTGGGTGTAGTGGTGCATGCCTGTCATCCCACCACTGAGGACGCTGAGGAAGGATCAAGAGCTCGGGGCCAGCCTGGGCTACACAGTGAGTCCAGGCCAGCCTAAACTGCATAATGAGACCCTGTCTCAAAAACAAACAAAAAAATGAAATAACTGTTGTCTTCATAGAGATGGTGCTAACTGGGTTTCTCGCTGGTATGAATGTCCCGAGGCTGGGCTAGGCGATCCCCCTGCCCAGTGATGGTCCTCAGTGGTTACATGGAGAAAATCTTTCCCTAATATTAGTCCTTCTATGTTGACAGAGGCTTGTACATTTGTGAAAGGTCTCCCCTCCTCCACCACACTGTCAGAGTTCTTCTTCATGTGCCTCCTCTGATGCTGTGCGAGGGAGGAGCTGCAGGTAAAGGCCTTTCCACATTCATTGCACCTATAGGGCTTCTCTCCTGTGTGGATGAAGGAGTGACGGATGAGGTGTGCACTCCGCAAAAAGGTTTTACCACACTCCATGCATTTGTAGGGCTTCTCCCCACTGTGAATCCGCTGGTGCCTGATGAGTCCTGTCCTGTGATTGAAAAGCTTCCCACACTCCGTGCACTCCGACGGCTTCTCTCCCGTGTGGATACTGAAGTGACGGATAAGGTCTGTCCTATCGCTGAAGGCTTTCCTACATTCTTTGCACTCATAGGGTGTTTCTCCAGTGTGGGCTTTTTTGTGCAAGATGAATGTGGAACGGTGCACAAAGGCCTTTCCACACTCACCACACACATATGGCTTCTCCCCAGTGTGGATGCGCTGGTGCTGTTTGAGGTATGACCCACGGTGGAAGGCTTTCCCACATTCCAAGCAAATATATGGCTTCTCCCCCGTGTGGGTGACATAGTGGTGAATGAGGGCCGAACGCTCACCAAATCCTCTCCCACATTCATTGCACTGGAAAGGTTTCACTCCCGTGTGAATCTGCTGGTGCCACGTGAGGTAAGACCGCTGGTTGAAGGCCTTGCCACACTCTGAGCACTGATAGGGCTTTTCTCCCGTGTGGATAAAGTAGTGTCTAGTGAAACCAGCTTTATCTCGAAAGGCTTTGCCACACTCATCGCACACAAAGGGTTTCTCTCCAGTGTGGATCCTGTTATGCAAAATCATTGTGGAGCGGTAGGCGAAGGTCTGTCCACACTCACTGCACTTATACGGCTTCTCCCCACTGTGCGTGCGCTGGTGCCGACTAAGGTGAGTGCCACGGCTGAAGGCCTTGCCACACTCCAGACACTTATAAGGCTTCTCTCCGGTGTGGACCATCTGGTGCTGGAGGAGCTGAGTGCTCTTGCGGAAGGACTTCCCACATTCTGTGCACTCATAGTGCCTCACTATTATGTGAACCCACTGATGGCGAAGGAGAAAGCGTTCCTTCTTAAACACCTTCCCGCATTCCTTGCATTTGAAGGCATTTTTTCCCTCTTGTACCAAGTGATCTGCAGCTGACCCACGGGAGTCACAGACAGGGGGAGCTGAGTGTGGAGACACACTCCCAAGCACAGTCTTTGAACACACACTATCAGCTGACCCCGTGCCATCATGTCCAGGCCCCCCAGCCCCAGGAAGCTTCTCCCTCAGGGCCTCCAGCCCTGGTCTCAGGAGTCCTTCCTGTACTTCACAGGGCCCATCCTGACCGGGGTGCAGCTCCACCAGGGAGTCCAGAGAGGCTCCTTCTGTCTCATGGTCGTGGAGCAAGGCTCCCTCAGGCCAGGCCTGGTAAGCAGGACTGGGCTTGGTGGTGTTAGGTTTTGTGCTGTTACCTGGAGGAAATACAATACACAAAAGGAATTGTGAGTCACAGCAATATCAGAGAAAGCAAATCAGCATTTCAGTAAGAATAGGAAGATGAAAACCAAGACTCTGCTCCTGGGGCCGGGGATATAGCTCAGCGGCATAAGTGCCCGCCTGGCAAGTACAAGGTCCTGAGTTCGATTCCTGATACAAAACAAAAACAAAAACAAAAACAAAAAAAAAACAAAGTAAGACTCTGTTCCTGGAATGATTTGAAATCCAGGAAGTCCACTTTTGCAATGTCTTTGTTCCTAGGACTCGACATTTCTCGTTTTCACATAATATCACTGTTGTTTTTTATTATTAACCAAGAAAAATCTCATGTAGTACTTTGTCACACTGCTAACTAGAAATGCTTCAGTGATAAGCGAAGTAATACTGGATCTATTTCATTTCTATATACTCAAAATTCATTTACAAAAAAATAATGTCAAACACAGCCCAGCACTAGATTCTTGAGACTTTTGAAGGGAAACTCAAAAAGAGTAATTGCTTGGGTCAGGTGACCAAGTGTCTGAAATTGAGATCCCCACTCACAGCAAGACTAGGGAGGATGGCCTGGCATGGCGGCATACCCCTATAATCCCAGCACTCAGGAGGCAAGGAGGGTCACCGGCCAGCCTGGGCTACATAGTGAGTCCAAGGCCAGTGTGAACTATATAGCCTGTCTCAAAAAAAGGTGGGCCTAGGGAAAAGAGGATGATTAATAACAACATAGCCAAGGGAGCACCGAAAGGAAGAGACGCTGGCTCTCAAGTGTGTGTCTCCTTGGACACTAGCTAGGGCACTGTCTTCAGCCCCTGTACCTGAATGTGACTGAATGTGTGGTCAAGGAGTATGAGGAGCAGATATTTTTATTTCCTCATCTCCCTCCACCAGCTGGAGGCAGCCAGGGATGCATCAGACCCTGTGTTGTGGACAGCAGAAAATGGGTCCATGAACCCCACGTGGCAGCGAGCGCCAGGCTGACTGCCATAGACCAGGGTTTTATATTGTAAGCCAGTGATACTACAGCAGGAGCACACTGTTAGAGCAGCCAGATTTACCGCTGCTGACTAAAGCACAGGAGGGCAGTGGATAAGGTGACTTCCCCAAGTTCACAAAGCGATTTTTGATCAAAGCTACTTGTTAAGTCCAAGCAGAGCCAAGAGCTGACTTCCACATTATGCTCTGCAGGTCTCCAGGGGCAGGAGCTTGTGAAAGTCCTGAGAGATAGGGAGAGCAGAGGGAACCTCAGGTTAAAGGATTCATGGCCCTACTGCCCCAGAGGCCATCAAAAAGATTCCTAGAGTTTCAAGGCAGGAGTCACCTTGTGTCTGCTATTCCCACCCTCCCAGCGGCTGGCACCTACCTGGACGGGAGCTCTGGGAGAAGACCTCTGTTGCTGTCCATAGATCGTGGCTGTGCTCCAACTGGTAGATCAACTCTGACTTGGACAAAGGACAGCCTGTGCATGGCAGAAAGGAGGAGACACTGGGATTGGTGGGAAAAAGAATTCTCTCAGTCTAGTCTGGAACTTAAGGATGGGGATATCTCAATGAAAAAGCTTCTAGGTTACAGAAGAATTAAAAGAGTGCAGTGTGAATATACAATATAAACAGAATGATGATGGGAATAGGGAATGTGTCAGTCTCACAGACTACTTGACACTACCTTTCACAAAGTAACTGAGGCAAGAAGGCTTTCTGTAGACAGAAAGAGGCCCACAAAGGAAGCCAAGATAGGAGACCTGTAGTCCAGTACAACTGGGCTCCTTCCCAAGAACTTCACTGAGCCCTCAAGAGACTGGAATTACAAATTCTGACCCAACCCTGCATCCCTGGCTAGAAAGGCTGCCTTTGTTCTGAACAACTACTTCATGTCCTTCCAACGTATCCCTCTCCTTTTTGACCAAAGACAGACTATCTGTTGCCCAAATCTTGCTAATTGAGACATGAAGAGATCAAGAAGGAAGAGTTAAACGCAAAGAAATGAAAGAAATTATAAAGAGGGAATGTCCTGCTTCCCTGCCAGGCCTGCAGTGAGAGGGCAGAGGAAGGGAGGATCCAGTGCTATGTGGGTGAGAGGGGAGCCTTACCCACAGCAGTCAGAAGCCCACAGGTCTCTAGCATCACTTCCCAGTATAAGGTCCTCTTGGAAAGGTCCAGCTGCCCCCACTCCTCCTGAGTGAATCTCACAGCCACATCTTCGAAGGTGACAGCCACCTGGGAAGTCAAACACAGGAAGCAGAACCTCCCTTGGGACTCGTGGATAGGATGAGACTGTGTCACTTGAGCACAGCAAAAGACACAGACACCCAAGGGCCAAGTCACCAAGCAGCCCTAGAGGACTGAACTCGGTGCTGTGCTCCAGTGTAAGGAGGGTGCTGCCTGGTCAGACTACAGAAGTGTGCTTCACGGAAGTTTCATAGGCAGGGAGATACTGCAGACTGAGACAAGTTTAGGACAATCCTGAGCGGAGTGTAAGGCACACACTGCAAGTGCTCAGAGATACTAAGAAATAAAAAAGAAAAACAGCAAAAGTAATACACAGACAGAACAACAGCACCTTAGTCGTATTGGTCCTCGCTGAGTGCTTGGCTCCTGACATGCACCACGGTAAAGTGACCAGAACCAGACTCCAGCAATCAATAGCTGCTTGCTGTGTGACCATGGGACCCTTCTTTGTCTGAGTCTCTAATCACAGATCAGTATTTTTCTACCTCTCCATTTATGAGAAGCATGAAAGAAAAAATGCTTATAAAAGAAATATGGATGATGGGCCACAGTGCCAGAAGTCAACACTATCATCATCTCCATTTAAAATCCACACTGAGGTCCAGAAAGCTCTACAAATTCACGCAAACTTACACAGCATACGAAAGAGGAAGGATTTGAACCCGGGCTTCTGTGGTGGGCAACCTAGTCATGGAGAAATGACATTTCCCTGTGAGCAAACTTAACCAGCAGTTAATGAAACTATAACGCATTCCAAGTAAGTTTCACTATTCTATTCTTACCGGCAACTTCTGAAAATATTTCTGTCAACTTGGATGAAGGAAGGGAATCATCATCAGCGATCTCATTAAAGAGACACCTGAGGTAGTGGCATGTCTGTGAAGTGACAGGGCCTGGCCCAGCCTGTGGAGTCATCTACATTCCTTCTGGACCCCACAGCTGCCCGTGAAGAATTCCAAATAATCCACTACCTCTTTTCCCTTCCTGAATCTTGCCAGGGCTTATCACTGAGGCTAGGATACCTCAGGAACAAGAACAGGACCCCAAGAGAGCGCAGCAGGGTATGGCCATGAGAACCTGATGTCTGGACTGGCCATCACGTCCCTCCCGGGTGAGTAGGAATAATATCCATCAAAAGACCACATACCCAGCTGTGGTACGGCAACTCTGTAATCCCAGCTACCTAGGAGGCTGAGGCAGAAGGCTCACAAGCTCAAGGTCAACCTGGCCAACTTAATAAATAAAAGAGATATGGGATGCACGTTAGGGATGGAGCACTTGTCTCTAGCACTTATAACCTCCTAGCTTCAATCACCACTAAGGCGGGGGCAACCCTCAGCTCACTGAAGACCCCTTTGAAACCAGTGTGTGTTTCCTGAGTGAGAGCGGTCTCCCTACCTGCCAGCCACGCGCCCGACACTACAGTCTAGAATGAAGCACACTCAAGCACACTCGCCTTGCAGTGCACTGCAGGCGCCTTCTCCACACTTCCCCAAGCACTCTGCAGAGAACAGTGCAGCACCAGCATGACGGCGGCCAGATCGGTCAGTTTCCGACCCGGGATGCAAAGCGAGGCCATGCCAAGGCCCAGCGGCAGCGTCACCAGCAAGGGCGAGCGCAGGAC